AACTTTTAAAAGACTGGTTTGGAACTTTACTGTCTGAAAAGCTGAAAACTTCATTCTGAGTTCCAGTGTACTGGCCCTTCTCTCCTCATTGGTATTGAATGTTTAACAGAATTTCACTGAGCAGTGATGCTCTCTGCCAGCTTTGCTCTGTGGGGATGGATAAGGAGGGTGTTGAAATCCCTCTCATAGGATCATCTCTCCAGTTCCCAGATGCTCCCCACAGTAAAGAACCACTCTTCCTGCAATATCTCCTTAGGTTCCATCACTCTGCTACGTCCAGCACATCTCCCTGCCCTCAGTTTATAGCAGAAATTTGTATTAATCTCCAGGGTAAGACCTTGCACTTCTTACTGTCATAATTTATGCAATTTTTGTTTCTCCAGTCTTTAGTGCTATCCAGCTCTTCTTGTATTTGATTGGGATCCTTATTAGGATGGTCACTGCCTTCTAACTTTGTGCCATTAATGTTTTATTAGTTTGGTTCTTCTATTTCGTGCCAAGATAACTGATGAAAATGCAAAATAAAATTAATCTTGGGACCAGTACTGAAGGTTTTACATTAATAAGCTTCTCCCCATTTGATCATTTCTCTTTTTCCACATCTTATTTCATCCCCATCAACAAGTTCGTTTGGGGTATTTTTTTGAGTATGTTTTGGTGCTAATTCCAATATTTTTAATAATTTCTTTAAATAAAGATTTTATAAATCCACTCCAAATTGTGTTCAATCTTCCCTGCACCCCAGGATTTCAGGGGTTTTTTAAACTCATAAATGTGTGACAAATGGCTGATTCACTCCTATTCCATTTTTATTTTAGGTAATGTCAAGTATATATGGGTGAAAATGTTATTTCTAAGGTCTGTGCTTTTAAAAACAAAATACAAATCCCTCATTGAAAATAATTTGTTCTCTGTGCTTCCTACAGCAGGATGGCTGAGCCCCTCACTGTGTGATAGTATTGACCTTATAACAAAGTGTTTCTGTTCCAAATACACTTTCAAAGGTGTTTAACCAGCTTACTTCACCTGTTTAACCCAAATACATTCCAGTTCTATTCAAGTAGCTACTGTTTTGATACAAATTTAACTTGTATTTCTGTTTATTATCAGAAAACAATTATAACTGTGTGTACCTAAGAGTACAGCAAATCTTTAATTTGTACATTCTTTCTCTCATTTTGATCACTTAAGCCTCCTGCATACTCTGTGTTACACAGATTTTGCATAGGTGTAGTTTTTGCTCCTCCACAGCCTTTTTGCTCCAGATGTTGGTTATCTATTTTGACCTGAATTTGGCTTTTAGGGCCAGGCCAGTGTTGCCTTATCTACAAATCCAGGCACAGAGCAATACGTGCAGGCTGAGCAAAGTCTGAGAGCTAAATCCCAGCCTGAGCTTGACTTACCTGTCAGGAGTGCCATAAACCCTCTGGAAGTGCACAGGGGGAGAAGGACTCTCCTTGATTTCAGGTAGATACATCTGATAAAGGAAAAGGAGGAGAGCTTTTATTCTGTTTCATCTCCACAAAAAGATTTGATAGGTGCATACTTTGGATTTTAGTCTGATAGGACTTTAAGCATATGAGTCTTTGCTGAATCACAGTTTAAAACTCTATTGTGAAGCTTTGATTGGGTTTTCTGAAAATTACAGGTGTTCTCCTGGATAACAGAACTGCAAATAACAGTGACTCTTCAAACCAGAGTAAAATAATAGGTGTCCAGCACTAATTAATGCATTTCCATTAGCAGTCCTGCTAGAAGGTGATGATTAGGGGTTATTTGCATTTAATCAAAAATTGTAATATAATGAAATGTAATACATTTTTCTTTTTGTTGAACTAATGTAAGCTTTATCAATACTGCTGGAATGAATCCTGCACAGGGTATGTTGCATCTATGTTCTGTACTGTTTGTGTCTGTTCAGCTGACCTTCTCATTTGTTACTCTCAGTGCCAGCTACTGCTTTTTCTATTTCAATGAACATTGTTGTTTTTTTTTAACTTGAAATGCCACTGTGTTTTCACTTTAGCAAGAGAATGTCACTGTCTGTGGAGTACGAGCTGTTCAGGGCACTTGCTGGCAATCAGGGGATTAATCATTATTATGCTTTGCTGCTCTCTATAAAATCCTCTCTTTAAAAACATATCTTTGTAGTAAGATGGAGCGTGTAGGTTCAGAAGAGTCACATTGTGTCCCTGAGAACTTGTATTTCAGGTCACTGAAATCCACAGAGCTGAAATTCATGTGCTTGGGGGGCTGGTGCCTGCTCCCTTTTTTGTCTAAAGGCTAAAAGAGACAACACTTTGTTCACTTGTGTTTGTTTGCTGAGCTCCAGGCACCGCCAAGCTGTGACTTCCTACAGATCAGGATGGATCCCCTGGGCTGCCCTGGGGAAACATCTTCAACCAGGGACACCTCAGCCATCTTCACTAAATCAGAGTCTGCACACACCTCCCCTTCTTACAGCCTCTGCAAAGCTCATGTTCCATAAATACACAGAATTCCTCTCCTCTGGGGGACAGGGATGCTGTACGACCTTGGACCTTGTGTGGGTTTGCAGAGACAGGTGGGTATGGGTTGGGCAATGGGATCTCACCTTTGGCACGGGGAATACACCTGTGTAAATGTGTAAATGTGTAAATCCTATGGAGAGTCAAAGCTGTTCTGAACATCCTGTTTCACTCTTCTGGCTCTTGGGGCTGAACCAACCTGTGTTTTCAACATAAAATCACAATGAGGTGCTTCGAAGTAATTTACTGTTCAAAACTGTGTGAGTTCAGCTCACAAGAAACTGAGTCACTTTTTTTGCCTTCATATATCTGATTATGATTTTTGTCACAGGGTGCCTTATGTAAGTTATCATTTTTATTATTTACAGTATGCCTATATTATGTTTTTGTGCTGTTCATTAGCTATTTTGACCTGTTCAGAGTTCAGTAACGTATTCTCACATCTTATTCAGGAAACTTCCTCAGCTCCCTTTAAACACAAAAGCAGGATTAGAATTTTCATTATTTCTAGTGAAAACCCCCCCCTTTGTTTGCTCATTCCTTATCTTTGTGTGCTGATTAATGTTCACATCTTTGCCCAAAGCCTTATTTTTCAGGTCAGGTAATTTACTTCATGTTCTGTTTATGTTCTCTGCAGTTTCTTGGTATAGATGTTTTGCTCATTTGAGAAAATAGATGAAAACATATTACGCTTTCAATATGTTTAAGGTCAAACATTAAAAATTCTTTCTATCTGCTCACTTGAGATGAGACACTTGGAGCATTTCTTCGTTCTGCTTTATAGAATCCTGCAAATCTCTGTGAAGGGCACTGTTATAAATCCGTAAATAAACCCCCAAATTCAAAAAGCATCTGCTGGCAGAGCTGAGCTGCAGAGCCTCACCTGTGATTCCCTCCTGGCCTCACAGAGTTTAGAAGACATTGTGCAGGTAACAACTCTCTTTCTAGGACAAGAATTTGCTGTTCCTCTGCCAATCCTCCCCTTCCTTTCCCATCAGAAAACTGGCTTGGATGGAAAATGTCAGCCCTGTCAGAGCCATCCCTTCTCACGTGGGAACTGACTGTTTTGGAGAAGAGGCAGGTTGGCTGGAGATGCAGAGGTGCCTCCTGTCTGTGACAGAGCCAGCAAGAGAAAGAGCTCTGCTGTCCCTTGCAGCACCTGTCAGTCTCTGAGCATCAAAGTAACCCCTTGGCAGGACAGAGTTCCCTCCAGTGCCTCCTGCTCTCCAGGAATCAGGGCATGTGCAAACCAGAGAGGTGCCACTACAAATGGAAAAATACCATGTCTCCAGTTGAGCTTCACTCCTTCATGGTTCTTACAAATGCCCATGACCATATTTTAGAGAAATGGATTTCTGTTCTCCGTGCAGGTTCCTTGGGGCAATTGATTTGTGCTTTGTAAACACTTTCTCTCTTCCTACATGGCATCCACCAGCACTTTGCTTAGGGAAAAACTGTCCCCATCCTGAAAAGTTACAATCTGAAGTTGTGAACTTGTGTCCTGAGGGTATTCAAGCCGCTTTTAAACTTGTTTTTGGGGTACACTCAACTGTTTTTTTGAGGATTCTCTGCTGCATCTTTTACTCTTGGTAGTTTCTGTCAGTGTAAAATGCACAGTAATTCCAGGAGGCTTCATTGCTGCATTTTAAAAAATACCCTAAAATCTGTCTTTCACCTGCAGTCTCCATAACTTGACACCCTGCTCACATTCCTCTGACATTCAAAACCCTTGGATGAGGAGAAGGATTTTCCAGTAATGCTGATTTTCCGTCAGACTGGCAGAAATGATACAATATTGCGCTACTTGAAATTTGTTCATCTTCAGAAGATTTATGTAGGAATAAAGTAGTACATTGACCCTGTGTGTTCGTGGAAGCAAGTTTCAACTAGCAAGAAATTTCTTCTCCATGAATAAATCAGAATTTACTTGCTGTCCTTGAAACCAGAGTGTAATGGTTGTGCCTATGCAGTGTCCTGTAACATGACGTGTTTCTTACAGCAGGGCAAACTGGGTATAAAATATCATCACTCTGCTTGACAGCTCTTTGTTTCCCTTTGCAGCAGCACTTGAGAATCTGACAACAGAGAATGAGAACCTTTTAATTTTAATGAAAAACTGACCCAGGTTCTTACTCACAAAGTTATTCATCATGGTAATTTATAGGTCACATCCTACCCACTTAGAAAACCAGGGTATTTGATAGAGCAAGAAAAACTGACTTCAAATCCCCAAGTACTTCAGAGAACTTGTGGTGATAAATGGGTTTTAATTAATTTAAATATAGTTGGAAGATCAGATGAAGCATTATTTTAAAGTGATAGTGGAATAAACTACAGAGATTCGTAATCTCTTCAGAGATTTGTGATCTCTTTATTTGTCATGTCTTCTGACATGATAACATGCAGGGGAGCATTCCTAAAGGATCTCATCACCACAAACACACTACAGACACATTTTATTTCAGAATTGCTAGTAATTTAATGGTTCCTGTCTGGTTCTAGCTTCTGTTCAGCAGGTCACCATTAGAGTTACAAAGACAATTATATCACAGAGCTGCCTGGTGACTCAGAACGGTGCAGTACATATAGACACTCCCTCCAGACATCCTTCTGAGTGTCATCCTCTGGAAACAGAGTGGAATTTTAAGCAAATGTAATGTTTCCATAAGCTCCATGGCACAGACTGCTCAGTGTAAGCTGCCATAACTGTATTAGCAAAGGGTAATTTTACAGGCTCAGCTGTACAATTGCAGTTATATTTTACAGCTGACCTCAACCGTTCTTTAAAATAGCTGTTATCAAAAAGGATTGATTATGTTCCATTTCTAGTGGCTCCTTGTTCTTCCTGCTGACTTCTGAAAGCATGATGGGCTCCTGAACAAGCAATTTGCAATCTTGAATCTGATATTGTGGTCACTGGAGGTCTCGTGTCTCTTCCAATTCCTCTGAAATCCGTGGCCCTGGAGGTTCAGTGAGACAGGTTTGGGCTGTTGACTCCTGATCCAGTCGAGATGCTCGAGGAGGGAAATGCACCCAGAGCCCTGCAGCTGCACTGGTTTGATATTGGATGGTGGCAGCACTCCTTCCTTATGTGCTGCTGCCACAGAAATAACTGCAAACTTTGGATCTGACCCTGAGGAAGTCCCAGCACTAATCAGCCTAATTAGGCCGCTCTGCATCGTTAAGGTTTGGGTCTGTAGCCCAGTCACTGCACCTCGTGCAATTCAACACCAAGTCAAGGAAGGACCTTTCACCATTTTAGTTTCACCAGTCCCTGAATTTGGATTCTCCCTATTTCCAGCAGCTGATTCCTGCATGGTCCTTGCTTTTCTTGGGCAAAGAAAACAGCAAATTTAACTTGGCCCTGCTGCAGAATTTCCTCTCACACAAGTGTTTCACTGTCTGCTCCTTTGTGAGATATCTCAGGGACCCACGGAACCTGGACTCAGTCTGGGCCTGGAAATATTACATAGCCCACAGCAAATACAGAAGCAAATTGATGAAGAAATTAGCTAAATCTCTGTGAAAAATATGGAAAAATACTGGGCAGCAGAAAGCTTAGGGAACAAAAGGTCTATCAATTAATTAACATGAAAGCCTGACACATAATTATGACCCTTTTTTATTTTTCTGGAGCTGTTTCTCAACTTTTTTTTTAATCTTGCATATCAAGAATAATCGTTTTAATTCATTTTTACCATGTAAATGTTTTAATAGGGCAAACAAAATATCAGTCTTACCTACAGCTATTTATCTGATGCATATATGATTTTATTTGGCTTCCTTTTATCACATATGGTAGCCTGGGGGGTAGAAAAGAGAAACACTGGCCCAGGAGTGGGAACAGGCAAGGGTGAAATGAATTAGGAGTTTGAAGGGGTTATATTTCCAGTTTTTGACAACACTTTTATTAATGCTAGTGCAGCATAGAGAGCCACTACAAATATGATGGGGGAAATGTGTTCCTTGAAAATATTTGGTAAAATATCCTGAAGAATGCCTTTCAGTGCCACCACAAAATCAAGCACAAAGGTTATTTTAGTAGCTTCCTCTGTTAAATGAAAATAATTTCACAAAAAATAATTCCTCTGAAATGCCAGCCATGAGATAAATTTAATGTATGGATGAGAAATATGCGTGGAATTCAGAACGTTAATTTGCTATTAATTAGCTCCTAAACACAAGTAAGTAGTTTAACTGGCAGTGTGGCTGAGATTTTACTTGTCACTAATGAACAGAACAACTGTGATCAGAGGCAGCGAGCACAGCTCCTCAAATGTTTCATTATGGATCCACAAAAATGTGACAGGGGATGGCCATGCATCTGATTTCTAGTTTATTCTTGCTGTTCATGGAAGAATATAATCTAGTTATTTAAATCGTAAATACTGAAAGTAGTTTGTGCCCAAAGGAAGAGAATTTATGGGATGAAATAATTTAGCACAACTGTTACTTCCCTGATTTGTGCAGCTAACTTTGGGGTGTTGCAGTATTTGTCACTTATTCATAGCAGGGAAAAGGTTATTTTATTTGAAAATATTTCTTTGTTCTGTCTCAGGGCAGACATTCTGTGTTTTGAGTGGAACATCACCCAGTCACTGCACAGCCAGTGGTGGGGAAACTGCTGTCACTTCTCCGTCTGGAAGGACAACTCTTGGAGAAATTTGTTGTGGTTTTTACTGTCACATATAGGTAAAACCTTACAAAAGAAAGGCTTTGTAAAATCATGGTTCAGGATAAGTGTAGTTAGCAGCTGGCCTGGGAAGCTGCCATGCAAAAACACCTTGAGAATGCAAAGTTCATTAACATAACAAACTATTCTTGGGGAGAAAAAGAAGTGCACCTGTAATAGCAAGGGATCTGTCCCATGAGAATCAGTAAAAAAGTATGTGAACATTGTCAGAGAGAAAAGTTTTGATTGATGTGTGCACTCACCATTACCAACCAGTGAACTGAGTTCCTGCCCAGCTGGAATGAAACACGGTGCCTTCTGATAACCACATAAATATAAACTGTGTGCAGTAAAGGTGGGGCTGTGGTGGAAGGAGAAACAGGTGCCATTGTCCATCTCTACTATGACATTTTACCTCTGCTGTTTAGAGGGAGGAGGAGAAATAGTTCCAGTTTGTGGAACCCCCAGTGCTGTGCAGACCAAGTTAATGGAATGGCTCTTGATGTAGTGTGAGGAAGGAGTCACCCCCTGAGAAAGCCCTTGGAAGTCAGTGAAAAGTCCCCTGGCATATCTGGCTGGCACTATGTTATTAGGGGAGATAAAAGAGTTAGAAATTAAGGAAGTCCTAACAGTGATCCAGAGGCAAAAATGCTGAGTGGAACTGCCTGAGATCTGTCTCATGGTCAAGAGTGCAACTCCAGCAGAAATATTCCACATGGCTCCTGTTGCTTGTGGATTCAGGATAAATATTCTCATAGCCTTTTGTGTGCATTCCTTAATCACCATCTGTAATTATGGTAAGGGAAAAATGGAGACCTGAAATTAGTGTAAAACATGTAAAATTTAAGACAGATTTCATAAAGAATCCATTGTGGTATCAGCAAAACCAAAATTCAGGCTCCATAAGATAAGAAATACAGAAGTAACTGCACTGCAGAGTAAATTTGGGCCTTGCTAATTAGAATATGGATTCACAATAACAGTTTTGCATTAATCTAACCGTTATCATATTTTGGTAGGAAATGGAGATTTTTAAAATAACAGACAATTACATAGCATAGCTATGGAAAAGGAATATAAAAAGAGAAAAATTATGCTTTTTTCATTTTGGGTACCCTTTTCTGATCTGCTGTGATATTGATGTGCCAATTCACAGCTTTATATCGTACTTCTTCATAAAATAGAGGGGGTTTTTAACATCCCCTGGAAAGCCTAATGGTGAATGCATATTTGAAAATAATTGGATTGCTTTATCTTCATATGCAAGTGAGTGAAAACCTGTAGTTTGAATAAGTGGAAACAAATGAACAAGGGAGGATTCCCAGACCTGTGAAATTGTCTGTGTGGATTGCCTACAATTTTGGCACACTGCAATTTTCAAAGATCTGGCGGCGCTTGAAAGGCAGTAAAGTGAAATATGTATGAGCAACGCAAATTGGGAAGCAAACATTGGGTCAGTGTCATTTGGATTGATTCCTTCCCAAAGGACAGGGAGTCACTGCAGATACTACAGGTGAGGTGAACACTCAGGTGGGAAATGTGTGTTTTAACTGTGCCCTGGCACCTGTGCCACCTTTAGAGCCTGTATGGAAGTGGTCTGGTTTCCAGACGTGTGGATTGGCACCAGTTCCTGTCTGTGCAGGGCAGCTCTGGGATGTGGCACATGGCATTGGTGTGCTTTGGATTTCTCTGTACATCACTGCCCTGTACCTCTGATACCCTTTCCTTTCAATGGGGAGTTATGCAAATAGAAACTCAGTTCAAGATTTGTATGTAGATGTTCTGCTGGTGATGATGGGAGGGTGATTATGGGTATTTTGGAACCTGTGGCCCTGTCTGCGAGTAACAGCCTCAGCATCAATCCTGCTATTTTCAGTGGACCTGCCCTGGTGTTTAAGGACTCAAGAAGGGCATCAGAACTTGTCTTCAGATAAGCAGAAAACATTTCCAAACCCAAGTATCTAGGGCACTTTTTTTTTTTTTATTTAGCTTTTAAGCATTTATTTTTAGATGGCATGGCTCCACTTGATAGCAGAGTGTGAATCTGAATGTTGTAAAGCAATATAAATGGCCATTAAGTTAGGAAGCACAGTATGACCTTTCTGAAGTATTATGCCAAACATTGTGTTTGCTTTGTGAGCTAAGTGGAACTTTTGGAAGGCTGTTGCTGATGAAAGGCACTGGCTCGCTCTCTGGGGAGAGAGCACATTATTGCAAGATGAATCTGGAGATCTGACAAAAAAACCAAAACAAAGCTGTAAGACAGGGTTAGATTTTAACAGGAAGAAGTTCGGATTGATTACAATGACTTTCGTATGCCTTGTTTTTTCCAGAACACACTGAATGACTTTTTTTTTAAACTTAACTCTCTAGCTTTAAGGGTGTCTTACCAAATCCTGAAAGATTCTGTGAAGGGGCACCATGGGAGAGCGTTTGGCCAAACCTGCCAAGTATTTATGCACCTTCCTTAGAAGTGTTCTGGCATTATTAAACATCAGAACAGCAATGCCCTGATGCTCAGCCAGTGCTGATGCCCTGGTGTGCTGTGCAGTGCCTGGCAAGGCTGAGGGGCAGCAGCCAGGGCAGGAAGGAAGGATAGGGAGGTGGGAGGAGGTTTAAAGGGAGACATGGATCCTCTGGAGAGCCCAGCCACCATTAGACCAGGGCACAATGACTCTGTGGCCCAGGCTGAGGCAAGAGGAGCTGTTCCAAGCTGCTGGACACTGATTCATTTTATCTGAAATACACCCTGAAAACAGGTTTTGTGTCTTCTGACTAACCCTCATGACTTGTCTCTGCACAGACAAATAGAGGATTCAGGTAATTTCTCGTGCAGAAGTGCTTGATCTTTATGGCTTTGTAAGGGACATCACTGCCAAAAACAAGCAGTGATGAGGAATGGGTGCTGGTCTGTTTGAGGCAGGAAGCATTCCACATCTTGAATTACATTCCCCAGGAAATGGTCATGGTCCCAAAGCTGCCAGAGCTCCAAGAATGTTTGGACAATGCTCTCAGGCACAAGGTGGGATTGTTGGGGTACCTGTGCCAGGGCCAGGGGTTGGACTCCATGATCCTTGTAGGTTTCTTCTAACTCAAGATGCTCTATGATTCTATGAAAGTAAAACTTCAACCTAATTCCAGTCATTGTGTTTACAGTCCCTTCTGTATCTCCTCTGTAGTTTATGTTTCACCTTGGGTCAGTAGGTTTTTTCTTGAAGGGGATACAGTGCCCCAACAGCAGCACTGAGTCCCTGTAGAGTGTCCCATTTTCATCAATACCACAGATAAATAAGTAGCTTGTAAAAAACCACTTAACTGGCTTTGGATCCTGGCTGTGTTTGATGCATCACGGTTAAATGAAGCAGTTTATGCACTTCCATTGTGACCAATTGGAGTAAACTTCGATAAGATTTATGAACACAGGGCAAGCATTTGTCATTTGCTCCAAAAAGCTGTCCTGGAACAGGTAAATCAAGGATATAACCATCCTGTCTGCAGGAATATGTGGTTCTTAGGCACTGGTTCTTAGGCAGAGCGGTGCATCTCCCTCAGGAGGCACCCTGGCTGTGAAGGTTTGGCACGTGCCTGCACTGCAGAGAGAGTGCTGAACCAACAACTTCAGCTTTTGAGCTGAAGGATGCTCATAACACCTTTCACAGAAGGTGGGAAAACTTAGATTTTTAACTATGTCTGGATTCAAAATCAACTTTTACACTTCAGCTGGCTCAGCACTGTCAGGTGGCTTTGTGAGCTTTTCAGTTCATGCATACATAATACGTGCCCTACAAGTACAATTCAGGCTTAGTTGCATCTGTCCTTGTTGATGAAACTTGCAGACCAGAGGAAAGATTTTAAATCTTTTCATTATTACTTTCCAAAATACTCTTTTTGCCCTACTTAGGTATAAAAGAAGTTTAAGAACGATTGAACTAAGTTCAAAGCTTAACCTTTGTATAACATCCTTTGGATACTTCAAAATACTGTGTTTTTAAAATAAAATCTTGAAAGACAATCATCATTTATCTGCTGCAGAAGACATTACCTCTTCCCCATTATTTTTTTTTTTGGAAAGCTGGTTAAGCACTGCCAGACAACTAGACAGCTAACAAGCTTTTCACATTAGCAGGCACTCGTGGCATCAAGTAACCTCATATTACACAATCAGTCACCTCAGTGTTTACATAAAGCTGATACCAGGTTACAGGAACATTTGTCCTGCATGTGGGACAAGCATGTTAGAGAGAAATAACAACTTGTGTAGAGCTGTTCCAACTCACAAGCAGCTTTCCTAGGATTTCAGTGTATTACAGTTTACAGGAAACAAACTCTAAGAGAATAGAATTCTCTAAGAGAATAGCTACTTTTCTAATAGCCTTGGCTTAATGACTTTCTCTGCAAAGTGGGATGGAGGCAGGCTTGCTTTTCACATGATGTTGCTGCTAAATTGTACATACATTCCTCTTAGTTCCTAAATAAAGCTCTCTCTCTATATTGTCTCAGGCTGGCTTCTGAAATGCATCTTGACAGGTTTTCTCAATCATGTGAATATCACATCGTATTTTTTCAATCTCATGAAGCCATTGACTGTACAAAACCAACACCCATGAAAAGGAAGGTGTCTCAGAACTCTAAACTCACACAAATTCATCTTCTAAAAATACCACCTGAGAACAGAATAACGTGACTGCGAGGTCCCAGAAGGGGCACCAAGCCCTTGACACCTCAGCATGGCCACACTGCCCCAACCCAGCAATGCACCCTGCTCCAGCTCAGCCCAGTAATGGTTTCTCTGGTCTCATGCTGGGTGTCTCTACCCTCCCCTTGCAGCACAGCTCTGTCACTGCTGCTCTCCTGTGTCGATGGGAGCTTTGTGATTTGCAAGCTAATACTGTCTTTGGTGCAGTTTTAGCTGTAGAATGAACCCTTGTTAATGATGATTTCTGAAGCACAATTTTAATGACATTCTTCACTTAGATGATGTAGAGCTTTTCAAAGCACTTAGGAATTATTACTGAAGTCTCAAAATGCATCCTTCGGGTAAGTTTAGTTCCAGCAATTATGCAAGTTGTGAAACAGAAGCATAGGGGTTTAAATAACTTAGCAGAAGTTGTAGGAGAAGTTTCTAGTAATTCTGGATTCTTGGATCCCTGCTGTCTACACAGGATTACAGCTCTCTATCACCCTTGAAGCACTGTCCTTTGTTACTGTCCTTTCTTTAATTTTCAAATGAAACCAATCTTCTAAAAACTGGATTTTACTTCTCTTTTATACTTTCCTGTTAAATTAACCACGTTTTTTCAGATACCATTTAAGATGTAAAGGGCCTTTGTTTCATAACACACCTCTTATTTGCACCATTCCAGTCAAGGC